GGTATATTGTTAAAAAGTGTGGGTATAGGATATAGTGACATACAAAATATGTTATTAAATCTCATTCACAATCAACACTAAAATTGTATATAACTATATGTCAAATAGATATATACCTATATATATTGTACCTATAGTGACACTTTTTGTATGTCACTATATATAACATTTCTTGTAGTGTACTTAAGATCAAATAACCTTTTGAACAGTTATAAGTATTTATAAAATACTTAAACAGAATTATTAACACACACATAAGAACTATTTTGTTCTAAAATTTGAAACTAAGAGTTTGTTATTATTAAAACTTATATTTAGGCAAGATTCAACATGAAGTAGTATCCAAAAACCTTATAAGTGCATACAAAGAGTTAAGAGAAAAAACACACAATATTTTTATATTGGTTCATCTCAACCACCGAGACTATGTCTAGTTTTTGATCAACCCAATTAAGTTTTACTATCTTTCACAAGCCACTTCTGGCTCAACTTAAGTGTTATTTGACTTACATCTTCAAGCAACTACTCAAGTATTCTTTAAACACAAAGTCTCTTTAGGCTTCAATAACTAAGTATTTTTTATAGTTAAGTCTCTTCAACCTCACTTAAAGCATTAACACAAAGTTAAAGCTGGAAAATCACTTTGTTGTTTTGTTTTACTATCAAGATGTGATACAACCATTTTGAGTACAAATCTTTTTATTGAAAGAATGAATATGAATTCTTACAATTGATCTTCTCTCTTCTTTATGAATCTTCAAGATTCTTTATATAGGTGCTTCATGAATATGATTGTTGTAAATCCTTGAGCATCTCCCATAGGCTTGCTTTGTTTGTCTTCATCTTTGTTCCTTATAGAGAGAAGTGTCTGTTAGTGCATTAAATTTGTTTCAATGTAACTTCTTATTTGATCAAGAATGTTACTTATCACCTTTAAGTTACCCAATGGAAGGAATTGTTACGTGTACGTGTTAGTTAGAAACAACTTTTTCAAAGGCTTCACATGCTTCAAGAGATTTGTTTATCTTTTCTCTGATGCAAAGCATGTTTGGTTTCCTTTTTGTAGTACAAGTAGTGAAGAAGTTTTTTTATTCCTTTTAATTTGTTAAGGAATATCATAGATAAATATTTTTTTTTAATTAAAATCATTATTAGTTTATCTTTAGTTTTTGGTTTTCTTATGTAAAGGCTTTTGGAATGCCTATTTTACTTTATAATTGTTAATGTTTTATTTTAGTTTTTATCAAGAGAGTTAGCAATGTGAACCTTTTTTCCAATAGTGAATTTAATTTAAATTTATTCTAATCTCCACAATTAAGAAATAAATTGAAAAAAAAAACATTTTGGGGGCAAAAGATATCATATTTAGTGGTATCAAAGTAAGTCGATTCATTCGAACAATGTGTTATGTGCACGTTGTGTTTCTTTGTACACTATGTGTTTTATTTGATTTGATTGTTGCCTTGTTTAACTTGTGTTGGCTATAATTTTACCTTTTTGTGAGACAGTAAAAGTAATCAGTAGTAACGATTGTGCGATTACTACACTAGTACAAAAGAGGTATTCCACGTCGGATATTTTGAGCTTTTTACGTCAGAAAAAATACCGACGTAGATGCGGGAGACGTAAATTTACGTCGGTCCTGTAAAACCGACGTAAATTTACGTCAGACATTCCAAAAATTTGACGTAAAAAGTAGTAAAAAAACAACAAAAAAAAAACATAAGAATGCAAGCAAAACGGCCCGTTCTCCATTCAAAACGGCCCGTTCTGCAAGGAGAACGGGTTGTTCTGCTTGGAGAACGGGTCGTTCTGCAAGCAGAACAGGCCGTTCTGCTTCGTAGAACAACGCAAAAGAAAAGGCCAACGACCTATACAAATAGAACAACAAAAAAATCGAATAGAACAGATAGCCACAATAACAATGCGAAGCAAAAAAGTGTTAACGAAACCTTGATTCATACCTGATGAGCTGCAACAGTGTGCAAATGAGTAACAAAGAGTTCACCCCTCTGCAAAAGACAAAAAAATGATTCAGTAACAAAGGAGAGGGAGAGGGTTTACAGAGAAAAAAATGAAAAGTGATGAAGAGTGAATGCACGCGGTGTGCCTCGCACTCTCTTATTCAAATTTCGCGAACTTTTTTACGTCGGACCTGATATGATTCGACGTAAAATGTCAAATCTACGTCGAACACAACATACATCCGACGTAGATTTAACTTTTTACGTCAAACCATACCAGGTCCGACGTAAAAAAGTTCGCAAAAATTACAAAAATGTCACCGCGTCTTTTCTACGTCGGATTTTCGTATTTTCGACGTTAAAGAGGTGACGTAAAATACTAATTTTCCACTAGTGCCAACACTCCACAAGCTTTGGCATAGGTGGTAGGGAATCAAAATCGAGAAGGTGGAGTAAAAGAAACAGCCAAGTACAAGGGGATGTATAGGATGATTCAATTTTGATGAGGCTCAAAACTAGTTAAGGGATATTTAGAAGATTTTTAGAGCCATGACTTTTCCAAATGCTTAGAAGGTGGGTTTTGGCACCTTTATACTCACAGAAGAAGCAAATTACTTGTGGGATAATATTCTTCAAAGGATGATGGTTGCAGTTGCACCAATCACTTGGAAAATTTCATAGGGACATTCTTGGAGAAGTATTTTCAAGAGGAGATCAAGAACATATAAAGGAGATGGAGTTCCATGAGCTGAAGTAGGGAAACATGATAGTAGTGAACTATGTTGCAAAGTTTGAAGAGTTGGTGCAACATTAATTCATCAATAAGTCATCATAACTTTGTCAGCTTGTCCTTCATGATGTCAAAGCCAAAAGATTTTCCCAAGTAACTCACATTACGTTAAGAGATCATGGAATGGCTAATAAGTTTTCTTCCGATCACTACAACATAAACAGGTTTTAGAAGTTGTTGATTGGTGGTAATTACTTAAAACCACCCCTAATCTAAAATATTATCGTCAATTTTGCAAATGATGTAGGAGGTAAATTTTTAATGGGGATTTTAAACTGTTGGAAGGTTTAGAGATGGTTTTATATAATTTTTATATATTAGAGAGTGTAAGGGATTTGGAAAAGAAATTAATGAAGAAGTAGAGAAAAGAGAATAAATAAATAACTAAATATGATGAGGAAGAAAAATTGGTTATAATTAATTACAAGAATAAAATAGTCTAAAAAAGTGAACAAGAAAGAAAAAAAAAAAAAGATATCCCTTTTATCATATTAATAGTATAATAGCATATAAAGGATAAGATAACTTCATTTGGAGTCTAAAATCTCTCTTGCATGTTTTATCCTTAATAATTCTACGTGATTTTAAATAATTGCATATAATTCTAGATGCACATGCACTTAAAATACTCATTAACACAAAGTGTTATTAGGGGTGATAAATAAATTCATTTGATTCATGTATAAATAAATTCATTCAATTCATCTATTACAATAAAAATAAATAATAAATTAGATTCAATCCATCTATATAATTTGATGGATGGTTAGCGATCTATCTACAACTTTTTCAAAATCCATTATATTACAATATGTGATGTTTATTGGATTAATTGAAATTTAAAAAAAACTATTTTTACATTAAAAAAATCTTGTTATTTTTAAAAGATTATATAAGAATATAATGATTTATAAAGAAAAGAGAAAGAAAAAAAATATTTCAAAAATAAAAATTATTTAGTTTTTAAAACATTTTTATGGATGGAGTAGATATCAACCCATGAAAAATTTGTTAAGGGTAAATTTTATGTTTCAAATAAATTGGATTTTTATGTAAATTTTAATAAATTTAAATAGATTAATAAATTATTTTTATCTAATATATTATGATTTACCTAAAAAATTATCTAATTTATTTATTTATCAATCCTAATAGTTAAAAAGTTATTTTTTCTTTTTTTAATACAGACACAAAGTATTTTTTTATTGGTATTAATAATATAGATAAAAATAAGTATGTATTATATCAAGTGGATATACTGAAATAGTAAAATACTAGTCAAGTTAAAACCTCGTCAAATCCAATGTAAAATAGTAAAATACTAGTCAAGTTAAAACCTCGTCAAATCCAATGTAGAATAACCAAATCCCAGTCCGAGTATCAAACTCTATGCAGCACAACCACATTCTCCAATTCTTAAACCACTTGTAGCATGCTTCAACCACCAGATGTTTCAGTTCCACAGAACAAAAAGTTGTATTATAATCCACCTTACTATTTTTTATTTTTTTTTGTGCCACATTCACATTATCAGAGTCTGCATTCTGGCATTGCATCCATACTCTCGACCTTTTGTCCACATTTTTTGTAGCAACTAATGGGCCATTGTAGCATCTACATAATGTAGAGGGAACAAGATGGTAATGGGGACCTCACAATATCACTAATGGATCTCTTCCAGAATGAACCTTCACTAAAGCCTGCATGACATGCTGAAGCAAAAATGGACCATACAAATTAATCACTTCCCTAAAGGCTTCTTTTACCGCAGACAACACAAAATGGGTCATCATTACTTCCCACACTGCTCTATATCTTCCTTTAATAAAAAAGTATTAAGTAAAAAAAATATTTAATGTTTTAAAAAAAATTATATTTTTGTTATATTTAACAAATATGAGGATTAGTAGTTATTATTTTAATATCTTTCAATTCTGTAAAGATTGCAAGAGAAAAGTTGTTGACTGTCCTTAATAATTACAATAGGTCGTCCTGGATTTTGAGGGCATTTATTATGTATTAGTTGACATCTTGTCGGAAAAAATTAAAGTCATAAAAGTGCTCAACGTGTGCTTGATTCTAGGGAAATATTTGTACACTTTTGAAGAAAAAAAAAAAATTGTGTTCTTTTGAGAAATTTATTGCCTATTTTGGCAGGTTGAGATTTTTGTAAATTGCTCATGTTTGGTTGGGGATATAAAGCAGAGAAAGAATCAAGATGCTAAGTACATTATCAATTTCTCATACTGAGATATGTTTAGAAGGGTCTAATAGAGTGCCACGTGGGGAATCAGATAAGTTTGGCACATGCATTCAGCAACTTCAAGACTTCGAGTTTGTAAATGTTGGTTCAAAACAAACAGCTTTGCTACCTCCAAGAGAATCAATTCAGGATAATAATGATAATAAAAGGTTTGGTCAGAAAGCAATAGTAGCAACAATTGGTATTGCAGTTGCAGATAGGATCGCCCAGCAGTGTAAGGAAATTGAGCTTTCAACAAGGACAATACCAAATCTCACTCATTTCAGGTATGGTGAATTAGAAACAATTTGGTTTGGAGCTGAAGCTATTATATGAGTTTCTTTGTTACTCTAATGAGGTGAAACTTTCCCTCCTTAGCTACCTTTTTGACATTTTGGCAACCATTTACAATTTGAGCATAAAGGAAAAGGCTAAAAGTTTGCAAACTTTTTCTCAAAAGGTTCCTTTTGCATCCCAGCCTACAAAATACCTTAGTGAAAATTCTTATGACTTTCCATGTCACAATTTGTAGTTTAAGACAGAAAAAGAAGTACAGATTGAACAAAACTTTAGGTATTTGCCTGCAGTTTTTCCCATAGATCTAAGTATCTTCTTTCATCAGTTCTTGCATAATTTTTTTGGCCTTGAAGTAGTAAATATATTCTGAATTTCTGAGTGAATGATCATGGAGAAAGTATATAAGCAGCAAATCTTTTCCAAGTTGTCTTCCAATTTAGGTACTTCTCCACCTATCATATTGGTTCTTGTTATGTTCTCATTTTATTTTTTCTTTTCAATTTCTAAATCGTCCTTCCCCTTCCTTCTTACAATACCTATTGCTCTTCTATCTACCTTATTTCTTGTCACACTGACAAAGAAAAAAGGGTCTCAAAATGAAAATCTAGTCCAAGATGAGCTGCAGAAAGAGCAGCTACACCCTTCACTAGATGTTACTCATGCTGATGAGGTTAACCAACAAAGTGAAACTGCTGAGAATCATGAGCAACAAGCTGAAGCACATTTAGACTATTCATTTCCAACAGATAGCGAAAGCAGCAATTTCTCAATTATGGATAGAACTTTTGAACTCAATGCTGATCAAGAGCATAGACTACATGATGATTTGCAGTCAGATTATTCACTTCCATCAGACAGTGAAAGCAGTGATGGCTCAATAATGGGGGAAAGTTTTGAGATTGGTCGCTATGGAAATCAAATTGAGGATATTTCTGATGATGACAACGACGACAACGATGATGAGGAGGAGGAAGAGGATAGTCTGATTGAAATCAACCTTCCAAGCAACCACTTCTCTGAATTGACTGAAGATCCTAAGCAAAAGTTGCAATCCAAGTTGCCAGAATTACTGCAAGATTCCTTATTCAAGCAGCAAGGCCTAATGGAGCTCTTAGCAGAAATTAATGACATGAATGAGGATGAAAACTTGATTGAGATTGATATTTCCATGGGATCAGGAGTTGGCATATTTTGAAGATGAATGTGTTCTCAGTGATTTATCCTTGTTTACAATTTTTATATTAAACTGCTAATATAGATTTAGTATTAGTATGTTAACTCTTTTTCTTCTTGATGCTGAGGAAGATTTGTGCTCACCTATATTAAGTTAGCATTTCGATTCAATGGGTTCCTTATCATTTTTTGTGTCAAGTCCAAATTGAACTTTAGCGAGTTTAATTTAACATATGCTAATGCTAGCCTCAAGTTCATTTGTTAAATACTCTGTGTATGCATAACATTTATTTATACATTTAAGCTCTAATTAATTATTTATTATAAGTTGGACTTAGATTTGTTAAACCATTCCTGATACACATCACTTAACATTAGCTACCCAAATATTTAAAAATGTAATGTTTCGATGATAATTGATGGTAACCACTATAGTAAGACTAGATAATGGACTAATACAAGATATATTGGATGCCTGAACAGTGAAGAATAGGGTGATGTGTTTTAAACGCTTTTAGTCACGGCCTGGAATCCATAAATTAAGGAGCTTTTTAAAGTGCTAGTCATGACTCATGAATTTGTCTGTTCTTTTCATTTTCATATCTCCCTTTCAACTTTGTTTTGACAGATATAATATGAAGAATATATGATGAAGTTGTTTGAATAAAGTTTAAAAATATTTTCAAGTTTTTCTACTAAATACTTTTTATTTTTGATAGAGAAACTCTGAAAAACATTTCTAACTTGTATCTAAATAGACTTAATGGCATTGATAATAACATGAGACTTTTCTTAAAAATGCCAATAATAAGAAGCCAAGCAAAGCAAGGTGTGCTAACTATGCAGTTTGCAAACAACGGAACAGAGAAAGGCCCTTTTAACTTAAGAAGAAGAAAAAAAATTAGTTTTAAAAGTTAACTTATGCATGGATAGTGTAGAATCATTTTTACATTATTATTTAATCATAAATCATCATATGTCATAAAATCTTTTACACATCATCATATATGATACAATCTTTTACATTATCCATGTATGATCATTAAACTCGTCTTAAAATCACTTGGCTTACTCATACATTTAACTAAACAAAACTCACCTTGAAGACAGCATATCACAAGCTAGTAGTAAGAGCAAATATAAGCATTTATAGGAAATAAACTACAAGCATATTTAGTTAGTTCAAATAAATATTTTTTCTTATAAGAGTCGATGTAAAAGAGTTATATCTCTTTATTAAATTAATAATAATAATATTATTATTATTTTATTTTTCATAATAATTATGAAAATATTTTCTTTATATTTTGTTTTTGTTTTCAAATAAGTATATAAAATATGATTAAAAAAATAACAATTTTTATACATATAACATGTTTTAAACCAAATAGACTTTCATAAGAAGTATTAGAACATTACATTAACATAGTCTCTAAGACTCATTTAGACCTTTAAAAGAAATTACAATGGGAGCAAGATGACATGTTATTGTAATTTTCTATCAGATTATCCAAAATAAAATTAAAAAAAAAATGAATGAGTGTTTGGGAGCTGGATAGGTTCATGAAGTTAAAATTTGTGCAAATACCCTATTTGTATTTTTCTGAATAAATGCCCTAATTCTGAATAAATACCCTATCTGTATATATACCATAATACAATTAAAATTCACTCAATCATAATGTACAAAAATTAGTGAAAGGTACTCCGTCATACTCGAGAAACTCTGAAAATTGTCTATCTTTTAATCATTGGTGGCTAATCTCGAGAATCTTCCCAGTTAATAAAATCTTAATAAATTTAGACTCAATTATTTTTTCTCTCTTTTGATTTAATCGGTTTGATTTAGTATATTTATTATTAAAATGTTCAATTTAATTATTTAATTTTTAAACTGATACAATGTTGTCTTTTTTTGTCCAAATTAAACTAATAATATTAATTTTTTGATATATGTAGCACAATAAAAAATTAATAATAATAACACATGCACCACTTATAAAGATGTTGAACAAGTTTGACTTGAAATTTTGATGATCTCAAATGATGTCTTAAAAAGTGTAAAGTTGTATTGTATGTCTTGGTCTTTTTGCATTATTTTAAGTTTTTGATTTTATATCTCATCTATGGTTTGATAACTAAAATTAAAAATAAATTTGAAATTAATATTATAAGTAATCAAGTTTAAAATCTATGAAAATGGAATTTCACTTTGTGATAATCGATTACACACTTAAAATAATTAATTAAAATATTTTGTTTTTGCTTACGCTAGACTTAACTTTTGTAATTAATTGAAAATGATTAATTAAAATATTTTGTTTTTGTTTACACTAGACCTGACTTTTGTAATTAATTGATTTAGAAGTTGAATTGAAATGAGATTTAAAAAGACTTTATTTTATAAAGAAAAAAAAATTGTGGTAATCAATCAAAACTTTTAAAAATATTAAAAAAAAAATGGCAGTATTCAATTAAGATAATTATGATTTTTTTAAAAGAACAATAAAATTTTGAAGATATTTAATCAAGACAATTAAAAAAAATTTAAGAGAAAAATAAATTTCTGTAATATTCGATCGTGATTTTTTCTAACTTATAAATAAAATTCTAGTATTTAGAAGTATATAAATTTTGATAAAATCTTTTATAAAGTGAACTTCATGTCACTATGTGAAAATTATAAATATCATACTCTTCTAACAATTATACTCAAAATCATGAGACTTTTTTGCTTTCTCATTCTTTTCTTTTTTATTGTTGTTAGACTTTTCTTTCTCTCGGTAGATATATTTTCTTTTCTCTCTTGAAGTTTATACAAATGCTAGGACACAACTTGACCACCTTAGTCATTCAATTGCACGCTTCTTGATTCACAATTAGGTAATAGACCTTTCTATATATTTCTTTTGTTCTTTTATAATTGAGAGGGTCACATCGAGTCCGTTTGGATTAGAAATCACTTAGTTTAAAGGATACATTGACCTAATTCTTGTGACTTTTAAGTTTGAAGTCTGAAGTTGGTAGACAAGTGTACATTCCCAAATATACCAAGAAGGTCATGCAGAGCAGCAAGTATACTCTCTTGAATATTCTCTAATAGGGTCACACTGAGATTGACCATGTCAAGTCATATAATTTAGCAACTTAGTTTTAAGGACCGGTCGGAATGGTCCCAACATGAGTATGAGGCATGAAATCTTATCTTTGATAATCATGCTCACATACCAAAATGCAATATCCATGATACGAAAAGATCTTACAAAATTATGAAATTTTTGGAGCCCAAAAAGTCATGACAATCAAGTATAAAATTTTAATCTTAGGACAAAGATGGGGAAAATACACTTTAAATGTTTTAACTTTGGTGAAGAGACTAGATTATCTCTAGTACATTTTTTCAGACTGAAACAATTTATAATCGTAAAAATTCTTATCATTAACAATAATGTTTCTATAATTTTGATTGTTAAATATAATATTTTTTTTTTACTTGTACCAAAAGTGCTCTACAAAAAGCATAAATAAATAAATAAACTTAAATATGTTTTTAGTTTCTTAAACATGAGGTAGATTTATTTTTATTTTTTAAATTTTAAAATTAATATTTTCAGTCTTTGTAATTTCAAAAAAAAAATTATCAATTCCTCTACTCATATTTTATTAGTGAATATGTTAAATACTATCATACAAAATTCACCTATTAATATTATTGTGAGTGAAAATATTACATATATTAATCTCAGCTCATACTGCATAATTATTTTAATCTATCACTTTTAGTTATATTATTGGTGGCTTAATAGATTAAAATAAGATTTTCTAAATTACTTGACTAAAAAGATAATTTTAAATTTGAGGAAAAAACTAAATTTTTACCTAATATTTGATATACTAAAAGAATATTTAAGGAGAAAAAAACTTGTTGGAGTCGCATATTTTTACTAAATTTTTTACGTAAAATTTAAAATAAAAAATAAATCCTCCCACTTTACTTAGCAAATCATCTTCAAGAAAGTGCTATTTTTGTTATTGTTTTTTAGTTATTACATGCTTCTAGGGTAGTCTTCTTCATATGATATTTTATTTTTCTTTCTATTGTTTCTTTTTTATTCCCTTACCAAAATATATAAGTATATATATAATTATTGAATGATTTGAATATATAAAATTTGTAAGTATTTGATAATTATATTCTTATTATCGTGAAATATAATATTTTTTAATCATTATAAAGGTACGATGTATTTATTGTCGAAAGTTGTAACTAATTTTTATCGAGGATTGTGAATTGTAATATAACTATTTCTCTTTTAACATAATTTATTACATACTCAATGTCAATATGGAGTACACTATGCTGACTCTATACTATTTTTACACTATAATTTTGCTATTATATAATGAGTTAATACCTATATATTATAAAGTTTTTTTACACTGACAACTAATTATATCTTTTAATTGTGTCATGTCACCTTTTAACAGTGACATGGCACAATTAAAAGATATAATTGGTTGTCAATGTAAAAATATTTTACACTGACAATGTATAGGTGATTAACTCTTATATATAATTATATATTAATACAAATAATGACTTTATGCTAGTATGTATTTTTCAATCTTTACATTAATATCAAGATCAATATTATTAAAATTAAAATTATTAACATTGAAGGAGATTTTCTTTAAAAAAAACTCCCTGAATGAAGTACGATTAAAAAAAATTCTTCGTTAACTCAAAATAAGAGTTAAAATTAAATTATTAATAAGATTTCATTATAATTTTAATTAAAATTAATGATTTATTAAAATTATACTTTCGAATAAATTCCTTTGCTTCATTGAGTAGAAATAATAAGTATTATCTATTTTTCATAATTAGGATTAGGTATAGTTCATTGATATTTGATAATGAATGTTTTTTTTAGAATGAGTGGATAATCAATATGAGAAAATAAATGCATTTTAATATTTGATAATCACAACATAAATATATTTTAATATCTAAATATTTGGCAGAAAAATATGCAATAAATATGGAAAGATAAATGAGTCATGATATTTGAGAATCACAACATGAATATACTTTAATATCTGAGATTGATGGGGAAAGAAAGATGATAAGACTACATAGAACTCATTGATATATATTTTCCACACATTTTAAAAATGTTCTCCAATCATTTTCTCATATTTATTTCACATCCTAACATCCCATTTTTTTTAAATGAATAATAATTAAATTAAAATAATTAAAATA